CACAAAAACTACTCTTATTTATTTTCTCATGTGCGGGATTTGACAGCCACAAAAATTACTCCATTTGTTTTGTTGCTTTAGTTAACTTCAGGGCTTAAGAGCAGATGATGTCGTTGCATTTTCTTTTATATAATAGCTGTAGGTTTGCTGGTTTGTTTGTTGGTTGCTGTTAGTTTAAAGAATACATAAAGGTTAAATCTCATTGCAATCTAACTCATTTTTGTGATATGGACTACTTGACTGTGTGTATGCACATCCATGCAATTAAGATAGCCTTTGTGTGATTTATTTTATGTTTGGAACACTCATGAGTCGTCTTTGCTTATTTATTGTATAACTGGTACTGAAAGAACTGCGTGCGTGCTTGGACCTTAATTGCACTTTGAAGTGGTCTAAGGTGATAAGTATGCAGGATTCTAGTCTCCTTATGTGATTGCTTACATTGTTAAGATGTTCCCTCCAGAAATTTTACTGTATTTTGGCTGCTGTGTTAATCTAATCAGTCTTCCTAAGCTATTTGCCTGGTTAACTGATGAAATAGATAGAAGTGTGTGGTGAAAGGCTCGGATAGTTTTTTTTAAAGGCTCATATAGTTGGCCTTAGATAAATTGGATAAAGCTTTGTGTCTTACATTTACTTCCTGCAGCAAGACAATGATTGTAATGTTTTCTGCTGATTTTACTTGATTCCTCCCCTCCCCCCCCCCCCCCCCCACACTCCTCAAAAAAAAAAAAAAAAGAACTTTGGTAATTTTTCAGATGTTTCAATTATAGTTCCTTTTCATCTCCAAAATTCATGTGAACGTTTATTGGCATGAACTTGCATCGAATAGTTATTGATTTAAAGGATTATTTTGCATGGAGTTTTTATTAGCAGCACCTACATTTATATAATGATTCTATCTCACTGTAAGACTACACTATCGCCAAAATGTAGTATGCGTTAATAGCATGTTTTATTTGCAGATGATACTTCCCACCTATGTGAGTAATGCTTGGCTGGAAAATTCATTTGGCTCGTGGAAACACAGGTGTCAAAATGCACGTAGTGCTGAATCTGTTGAAACACTTACTAAGGTGAGTTGCTGGAAGTAGAAATTTATTTGCTTCTCTTCTTGCATGTTTCAGGCTGCTGTCATCTAGCCAGCATGGAAAGAAATGCCTAAGCTGATACTTATAGGGATCCACCCATATGTAGTCTTTAAAAATGATCACTATGGATTCTTAATGAAACTTAAATAATATTCTATTGTATATAGTGGCAAACTATAATTTAGTCACAAGGTAAATATGTAACCCATCATACAAAGGTACATTAATTCATAACATAATGCAAACTAAATGATACATTCAATATTATACTGCATTTGTTGATAACTATGTTATCCAGACGCTTCTTTCATGAAAAGCCATATCCATACTTGACACATACCTATAACGAAACTTCATGGACACTCCAGGGATCTATGCATATATTTATTCAAATATGTATCCAAATCCAATTATATTATATATGTTTTAATTTAAAACACTTTGTCATATACTTCTTGGACGTATATCCTACGTTTCATATTCATTTCTTGAAACTTGTTGGACATGGATCGCGTTTGTTTCAGTTAGCCCATACCCAAGTTAAAATCCTAACTTAGAAAGGTTGTTCGAATGTCTAGTTCAAAAATAAGCAGTTTCCAATTCATAATAATCAACATAATAAGAAAAACTTAAAAATGTGATAGAAAATTTAATTTTAATAACTCATGAATTGAAAATTAATGATGATCCCATGTAATTATTATGCCCCCCCCCCCCCAAAAAAAAATTACCTTTAAAATAGGGTCATTCCACTGAAACTATCTTTGATTGTCAATTTATACGTGAACCATCTTTAAAGAGTTTTTTTGCTGCAATCAACCATCTGGACCCATGGTTTTAAATACCAGATATTGGGGAAATATCGGATGACCAAAATTCATATTGGATCACCAAAATTCATATCGGATTGCAGATATTGATATGTGGTAAATATTAGAATGTCATAACGGATGTTTGCATATATAATATAATGCACTAAAATATAATATTAACATACTTAATGAAATCTAAGCATACAAATATAAATAATATATGTTTAAGATCACTAATCAACATTGTAAATTGTAAAACAAACAAAAGTACAAACAAACATTGTAACATTTCATTAGATTTTTGTAGGCCAAAATGCTATTTGATGATACCTCACCCAAAAATTGGTAAACGCTGTATATTGTCTGGCAACAAACCCTATAAAAGGATATATCAGCCAACATATCAACTGATATGTCAGCCATATCGGGGATATATCTCCCAAAGAGCCAAAAAATGGTAAGGATATTTAGAGATCATATCAGTTGCGATAATCCCTGTAAAAGGATATATTAGGCGATAAATCGGGTCATGTCGAGGATATTTAAAACAATGTCTGAACCCACTTTTTAGTTAAGTTTTTTACGTACTTGACCCCATCTAATCTCAATTAAAGATCATCTCTATACTATATTAGATTTTTTGATAGCTAATCATTACATCAAAATTGAAAAAACTTAATTGAAAAGTCAGTCCGAGTGGTTGATTGCAACGAAAAAAACCCGTTCAAAGGTGGTTTATGTATAATTGACAATAAAAGGTGGTTTATGTAGAATGACCTTATTTTAAAGGTGGTTTCCATGTAAAGACCCAAGTTCAATATATATGTAGCTTCCTCATGCCCTACAATTTACAAATTTGTTGCATACCGAAACTGGACCTATATCGGTACCCTTGCTCATTTCCATGCATCTTAGGCTGTTAAGAAACATAAAATATCCAATATGTATACATGCAGTATTGATAAAACGTAAAAAATGATGGATCTTTACAGAAGCACTTAGAAAGTTTCTGCAAGAATTTTAACAGATGGATATCCATTGTGGATATGTATCTTATACTAGGTGCATCAGTGGCTGTCTTATATTTATTATTTTATGGAGCCCTTTTGGCAATATCCTATGTTACCCCGACATGTCATTCTAGGTCCCGTACCCGTGTCGGGTACGTTTTGGGTGCGGATCCGCACCCAAACGGCAGGGACACGCCAAATTCACTCGCGACGTGAAAAAAAACCAACCTGAAATTTTTGTGCGGAGGACGAATCGGGCACTATTCGAGCCCAATAACCCAAGCCCACTGAAGCGATTCTGCCTTTAGGCCCTTTACCAACTTCGAGCTTGACGACGAAATCAGAGCTCGACGACGAAAACTCAACTCCTCGACGACGAAATCAGAGCTTGACGATGAAAAACCCTACTCCTCGACGACGAAAACCCAACTCCTCGACGACGAAATCCGAGCTTGATGACAAAAAACCCAACTCCTCGACGACGAAATCGGAGCTCGACGACGAAAACCCAACTCCTTGACGACGAAATCTGAGCTCGGCGACGAAAAACCCAACTCTTCGATGACGAAATCAGAGCTCGACGAAGCAATTTCAGCGCCTCAACGACGAAACAGCTCCTCGACGACGAGATCAACACATCTGCTCGAAGACAAGGTTTGATTTTAGGGTTTTTAGGGTTTTGTTTTTGTTTATTTCCTTTTCTCTTTTTTCCTCGACAACAAGACCAGCGCCCTCCTTCTTTTTCCTCGACAACAAATTCCAGCGCTTGACTTTTTCTCCTTTTTCTCCTTTCGTGTGCCTTTTTTTTCTATTATTCCGATTGCGTGCACTTGTTTTTTTCTATTATTCCCACTTGTTTTTTTCGTGTGCCTTGCCTATTCTTTCGTGTGCCTTTTCTATTTTTTTTCTATTATTCCGACATGCTTTTGTTTTTTGTGGATCTTATTTCCAGCCTGAACTAATTAAAATGATTGGTGCCTAATAATCCAAAACGAGAATCCAGTTGTTTCACATATAGTGATTCTTCCCAAAGAAATAGTGCTTTGAGTGGGAATCTGATGAACTTTTGTAAGAAAAAAATGCTGTTAACTTTAACTTTTGTAAGGAAAAAATGCTTTATATTTCTTATATTTAAGTATTTTCTTGTTAATAATTGTAGAGAATTAGATGAACAAGTTCACAAAGTGAGCTAGAGGATGATAATGCTCCTCTTTGGTGATATGTCACAAAACTTGGAAAAGTCGCGGGAGGTGGTGGAAATTGGGAATGACAATGCAATTATTGTCTTGAAACTTTTAAGAGTTCTCATTCAAGCGGGAGGTGGTGGAAATTGGGAATGACAATGCAATTATTGTCTTGAAACTTTTAAGAGTTCTCATTCAAGAGTAAAAGCACATCTCTTAAGACATCCATTATTTGGAATCAAATGTTGTGCAAGAGTGTTCCATTACCTACATCAAGAAAGTGTTGGAGCTAGCGGAGCTTAGATTGAAGTCAAAGAAGGGCAAGAGTGTTCCATTACCTACATCAAGAACAATCACTACACAAGAAGTTGCTAAGAAGAGAAGAAGTGAGGGGAATACCATAGAACAATCCTTTAATCGTGGAGCCTGAGATCACCTACATGATCTCATTGCACGAATGTTTTACACTAGGGGTTTATCATTCAATTTGGCAAGAAATCCATATTTCATTTCACAAAGTGAGCTAGAGGATGATAGTGCTCCTCTTTGGAGATATGTCACAAAACTTAGAAAAGCCGCGGGAGGTGGTGGAAATTGAGAATGACAATGCAATTATTATCTTAAAACTTTTAAGAGTTCTCATTCAAGAGTAAAAGCACATCTCTTAAGACATCCATTATTTGGAATCAAATGTTGTGCAAGAGTGTTCCATTACCTACATCAAGAAAGTGTTGGAGCTAGCGGAGCTTAGATTGAAAGCAAAGAAGGGCAAGAGTGTTCCATTACCTACATCAAGAACAATCACTACACAAGAAGTTGCTAAGAAGAGAAGAAGTGAGGGGAATACCATAGAACAATCCTTTAATCGTGGAGCCTGAGATCACCTACATGATCTCATTGCACGAATGTTTTACACTAGGGGTTTATCATTCAATTTGGCAAGAAATCCATATTTCATTTCACAAAGTGAGCTAGAGGATGATAGTGCTCCTCTTTGGAGATATGTCACAAAACTTAGAAAAGCCGCGGGAGGTGGTGGAAATTGAGAATGACAATGCAATTATTATCTTAAAACTTTTAAGAGTTCTCATTCAAGAGTAAAAGCACATCTCTTAAGACATCCATTATTTGGAATCAAATATTGTGCAAGAGTGTTCCATTACCTACATTAAGAAGGTGTTGGAGCTAGTGGAGCTTAGATTGAAAGCAAAGAAGGGCAAGAGTGTTCCATTACCTACATCAAGAACAACCACCACACAAGAAGTTGCTAAGAAGAGAAGAAGTGAGGGGAACACCATAGAACAATCCTTTAATTGTGGAGCCTGAGATCACCTACATGGTCTCATTGCATGAATGTTTTACACCAGGGGTTTATCATTCAATTTGGCAAGAAATCTATACTTCATCGAAGCTTTTAAATATGCCACAAGCAATTCGCTTGGAAGTTATATCCCTCCTGGATACAACCTTCTAAGAACAAGCCTCTTACAAAAAGATAGGACACATATCGAAAAGTTATTAGAGCCTATAATATTAACATGGAAAGCAAATGGTGTTTCTATTGTTAGCGATGGGTGGTCCGACTCACAAAGAAGGTTTCTCATTAATGTGATGGCGGTGACCGAAGATGGAATAATGTTCTTGAATGCCGTCAATGCGGAGGGGAGGACTAAGAATATGGATTATATAGCCGATATTTTCTTGAAAGCCATTGAAGAGGTTGGTCCTCATAATGTTGTATAAGTCATAACCGATAGTGCACCGGTTTGCAAATCCGCGGGATCCATTGTGCAAGGAAGACATCCTCATATTTTTTGGACTCCATGTGTTGTCCACACACTCAAATCTTTCTTTAAAAAACATTTGTGCGATGAAGAATACCTAAAGAAATGAGGTGGTGTATGAGGAATGTAGTTGGATCAACGAAGTTAGCGATGATGTTGTTATAAGAAACTTCATAATGAATCATTCCATGAGAT